CCTTTAGCATTTGCAAATACAGATCTTCTAAAAAGATTAAATTTGATGGGAGCAATCATTATTAGTAACAATAAAGCTAAAAAAACTATAAGTGATAAATTTGATAATAATAAAATGTTTAAAAACGAAAAATTAGGAATAAAAGCTATAGGAAAAGTAAAATTAGATAATTTTTATCCTTTAAAAACTCCTACAGTAAAACTTAATATATTATAATCTTTATGACAATTATATTATAATTTATTATTGAATTATATTTATTTTTAACTTAAAAATTTAAAATTAAAAAAAGATTTATTAAAAAATAAAAAAAATGATTTTCTTATTATAATTAAAAATAAAAAAATCAATAAAAATTTATAAATGATAATAATAAAATAAATAAAATAATTATTTTTTAAAGATATTATATATTTTTATATTTAGATATTATATATTTATATAATTATATAGTATAAATTTATATATTAATATATTTCTATTTTTTGAATTTATTAAAATAAATTATTCTTTGTTATTTCCTAATTTAATACTCCAATATTTTTTTTTTTTTTTATATTATGAAAATATAATATTTTTTTAAATTTATTTTTGTTCATAATATTTTTTACAATATTATTAACATATTCTAAAATATAAGTAACAATAAAAATAATACTTAAAATTTAGTAAGTTATGTCATAAAATTTTAAAAATTTATTATTATAAATCATATTTATATATATATAAATTTATATATTTATATATACATATATATCTATTACTAATATTTACTAATTTCTTTTATATATTTTTAAGTTATAAATTTTAAGATCTTATTTAATTTATCTTATATTAATATTTTAAATATTGTTTTTTATTAAACATTTTTATTAATTATTTATTTAATTTATTTTATCATAAACTAATCTTATTATTATGTTTTTTAAAATTTGTTTTTATTTATTAATATAATTTTAAATTTTACATATATATAATAAATATATATGTTATTAATATAAAAAATATATATATATATATATATATATTATATATATTATATATTTTTTATTTAATTTTTTTTTTTTTCAAAAAATATCATATGTTTGTTTATAAGGAGTTGATTCTATATTTTTTTTTTAAGTATATGTACCAAATGAATATTTAAAGCTGTTAATTTATTTAGTTCTATTAATTTTATATATTATTAAAGATGATAATTATTTAATTTATAAAAATATTAAATTAAATAATTTCATCTTCTAAAAAAAGAAAAAAGACAAAATATTCTTATATATATTTTCATTTAAATTTTTATAAAAGATAAAAATGTTTTCTATGTCGATGTAAAAAAGAATTTCCTTTAAATTTATATCTATTTTATTTTTAGTTTTTTATTTTTTTAATTTTTAATTAAAAAAATAAAATTTTAATGAATTTTGTATTAAGATAATATCAAAATATATCTTTTAAAAATAAATTATCAAATGTAAAAAGTTAGAGTCATATATTAAATTTTTTTTTTTTTTTATTTCAGTATATTTAATATTTATATTCTTTTTAAGATATATAAAATAATTATAAATTTTAATAATTTTTTTAATATTAATACTAATAATATTAAGAACAATAAAAAAATTGAAATATTAAATAAAAATATATTTTTATATTGAAAATTAAACTTATTAAAGTTATTCTTTAAAATAATATATATATATATATATATATATATATATATATATATATATATAATGATATAAATATATATAATATATATTTTTTATGAATACTTATATTTTTTAATACATATTTCATCTTTAATACCTATAAAAAATTATTTTTAAATAATATATTTTATAACATTACAAATCTATTTTTTTTGTTTTAAAAATAAATAAATTTTTTAATATAAATTAGAAATTTAGTTTTTTTATTTTTATTTTTTATAGAAATAAATTTTTAATTTTTTTAACAAAAAAATCTATTTAATCATTTATATTTTTTTTATATAATGCTTACTTTTTTTCAAAATATATATTATTTATATATTTTTTTATTATTTATATTTTTATATAAATTATTTTTAATATATAAAAATCGTATCTTTATTTATTGAATTATATATTATTAAAAGCTATTCTTAAATACTTTTTTGTTAAAATTAATTTTTCGTATATTTTTTTGTATATTTTTATTTATTCATATTAAATAAAATTAAATAAAATAAAAAATTATCTAAACTAAAAAATAAACATAAACTAAAAAATGGATGAAAATTAACTAAAAGTATAAACATCATAAAAAAAAATACACCAAAAATAAATTAAATATATAAAAAATAAAATGATTTTTAAATAAAAAAAAATAATTATATTATACTTTAAATAATACTAAAAATAGAATTCTATTTATTATTAATATTTTTATTTAAAAAAAAAAAAACAATAGAGTTTGAATAAAAGAATATGGGAACATGTAAGTAAAGACTCTATAACAGAATAAAGTGTAGCTTAATTAATTAATGAATTATATACAAAGTTTCCTACATATGATATTAACACTTTTGTTAATCCTTATTTGAAAATAACTTTATTACATATAAATTCTTAATTTGGTAGATCTAACATTATTTAAGGATTAGTTTAACAAAATCCAATTATTGACATAAAAGACCTTGTAAAAAAATAATAATTTTCATATATAATTAAATATATAAAGAACTCAAGAACACCTCTTCATTATGCATCTATGAGTGGAAATATGGATTGCATAAATATATTATTATAGAAAGGTGCAAATATAAATGCATTAACAATTGTAATAAAAAAATATGTTCTTTTTTTTATTTATATTAATTAAAAAAAGGGAAATGAAACTCCTTTAATGAAAGCAGCGTAGTTTAATTAGTAAAATGCATTATTTTTACTATTATAAAAATAAGCAGATACAAAACTAAAAAATTCACTCTAATAAACTGTTTCTGATATTTTGCGTATTTAAAATCCTAATTTATACTAGAAAGCTAAATAACAATTTCCTCTATTAATAAATTGATTTTTTTTTGTTAAATTGTTATATTTATTGTTCATATTTTTTTTTATATTTTTTTTTGTAATTTTTTATAAAAACCAAAATAAATAAAAAAAAGGAGCAAAAAAAAAAATGGATTACGGAATTTTTTTTTTTAGAATGAGTTTTTTTTTAAAAAAAAAAAAAAAAAAAAAAAAAAAAAAAACCATATGAACATCATATATATTATATTTTTTTTTATTATTATTTTATATTGCAATTTTCAATATTTTTTATTTTTTTTTTAAATTAATTATACTTTTGTAAATTATTCCTATATTAAGGGTGGAGGGGGAATGATAATTTTTTTTATTTTGAAAGTTATTTTAACAATTATATAACTTTTTTCTAATAAAATTTTATTTGTACTTATTGTTGCTATAAAAAAATTAATAAAAACTTAAAAAAGCATTTATATAATTTTTATAAATAAGATATTATTTCTGATATTTATGTTTTCTATATTATTTAAAAAATACATTAATAATAATAAAAAAAATGGAATCATTAAATAATAACAATGAATATATAGAAAAAGCCGAATAAAATCAAATACCCGAATAAAATCAAATACCCGAATAAACATAAAATTATTTCAAAATAAAAATCAAAGATTTACTAAAATATAAATTACAACCTTTACATTCCCATAAATAATATATATACAACACCTTAATTTCTTAATTAACTGAACCTCAAAAAGAACAATAAATAACCTACTTTCGAATAATCTAAAATTCAGTCTAAAACCCGTACTTTACAAAAGAAGATTTATAAAAAACCTCAGAAATAAAAATACTTAATGGAATATTTCAATATAACGTTTTCGATCAAAAAATAAAACAATTTTACGTAAATTTTGCTGACGCAGATCTTTTTGGATTCTACCACAGTTCTTTATACGCCCAAGACGAAATTTAAGTATCTGAACATCCGATTTTACCACATATAAAAGAATACGCTTTATAATAAAGTAAGCTTGAATAATATTAACATTTAAAGCCTTTAACTTATTAAAATAATATACCTACTCCTATATTAATTTTAGATGTACATAGAATAGGCACTATAATGCAGAATTCTTTATTGAATTTGTATGGCGGAAATTTTTCAAAATCTAATATTAATGAAATAAAATAAAATCTAGTTTTATTCGATTAATAGAAATAACATATAACCAATATTATTTCGATGGCTTCTTTAGCTTATTAGAAAGGTGTATATACCAAATAATAAATTTATTTTATGCTTTTGACTGCATATAAAGCTTTTTACAAAGCTGTCGAGTTTTCTAATTTAGAAGGTAAATAGTGCTGTATACATACTGGAAATTGGGGATGTGGGGCTTTTGGAAATAATCTAGAAATGATGTTTTATATTTAGGTTTTGGCAGCTAATATGGCTGGAGTTAAGTTTTTTTAATATCATAGTGCAAGTAAAAAGAATTTATGTGATTAATATTTAAAGAAATACAGGTAAAATGTGGAATTAATATTTAAAAGTAGTTAGAATGAATAAGTTAGTATGGAATTTATAGTTTAGTTTTTGGAAAAGATGAAAATTAAATGGGGATAGTCTAATGGGACTTGATTTAATATATATATTTTTTTTTAATGTGTATATTTTAAAATTTAATTATTTTATTTTTTATAAAAAAAATACAAAATATAATAAACTTAATATAAAAAAGGCTTAATATAAAAATATAAACTAAAATAATATTTAATTTGAATTTTTTATATAACTTTATTTATAAAAACATAAATTAAAAAAAAAAAAATTAATATATTTATATATATTGTATAAAAAAAACTAAAACATTAATTTAAAAATAAGATATATAAAAAAGTTTTAATATTAATATTATTATTATTATTAATAATAAGTAAAAATAATACTTATATATAATTTTTATTTAAATATAATAAAAAACATATATGTAATATTTTATATCAAAGAATTCCTCCATCTCCTTCTACTCCAACTTATTCTCCTGATTTCATTTTTTCTTTAATTTTATTAAGAACACTAACTTACCATTTATCAAGTGGAATTATTTGATTAAACTCATAACATTAAGTAGAAAAATCTTCCATATTTTTTTCATCAAAACATTTTATTAATTCTTATAAAAACTTAGACTACCTAGTATTATTAAATGGAGGGCAAGAGTCCATAAATTTTTCTAAAGCAATTCCACAACCTACAGAATCCTATTAAAATTAATTTAAATTTAATAAATAAAGAATATATATACATCATTGCATAAATAAAGTAATGCGGCTTTAAAGAAAATATTTTTTGCAGTTCCTTATAAAAGTTTATTTTCACAATATTTATATCCAACTTATTCATATATCTACATTTTAATAAAAAATGTAAATAAATATATATATATATACATATATATATATATATATATTTTATTTTTTTACTTTGATAGCCTCTATATAATTAACTTATTAATCAGTTTTACTTGTCATTAAATCAGCAACTTTTATTTTTGAATTATAATAATCTGAAGATTAATCATTTTCGGCAAAAAATAAATCGGCTGATTCTTCATAAGCTTTAATGGCTAAATCTGTTTCTAAATCTTACTCGAATATTTCAGCTATTTATTTTTTTAGTTTTGCTGCCTATTAATTAAAAAAAAAATGATAAAGTATAATATATATATATATATATATTTATTATTATTTAAAAATATACATATCCAAATCTATTTTCTTTACAAAAAAATTAAATTGCTTCTTCAAAATATTTTATAGCTTCTAAAAAAAAAAAAAATTATATTTTTCCCTAAAATAATATATATATATATATATATATTATTTACCAGAAGTATTATTCTTCTTTTTCATATTAGCTGCCTCTACATAATATTCGCCTGCATTGCCTCCATCTCCAGCCTATTCACATTTTGCACATCTAATATATGCTTCAGCTGCATCATCCCCTTGATATTATAAATATAATGTTTATTTATAAAAAATTAATTAATATACAGCTTTTTGCAAGTTTAAATTTAACTGCTGCAGATTTGTAATATTCTAATGCTTATTCTGCTCTTTCTGATTTATTAGAAAATATTCCACTTAAAAAACCACCTTAATATTTTTAATTTATTTTAATTATTATATTATTATGTTTTTATTTTGCCTTTTAATTTAGAGTCTCCTTTTTTCATTAATTCTTCACCTTATTATACATTTAAATTATCCATTTAATTTTTTTTTATATTTTCTAAAATTAAATAAAATTATTTATTATATATATGTGATAAAAAATTATTTTTTTCCTGTTTTTTTTTTTTTTTTTATTTCTTTTTTAATAAAAAGCTACATAAATAAAAATAAAATAAAAAATGAATTATTATATAAATTTAATCATTAAATAATAAATTATTAAAAAGATTATACGTATATAAATATATTCAATTATATATAAATATATAATTATATATATTTATATATGTATATATTTTAATATATTAATTTATATATTTTTTACAATCATTTTATATTTTCTATTAATTTTTTATAATACATATTATAGTATTTATATAATATATTTATATTATTTTTATTAGAATTTTAACAAAAATTTTAATATTTTTATATTATATAAAAAAAATACCTTTTAAAAATAATATTTAAATAAAAATAATATTATTAATATTTAAAAAAATTATGTTATTTGAAATATCTCTATATATATTTTTATTTCTTTACAAGTTTATTAATTTTTTTAGTTTTAATTTATATTTTAATTATAATAAAATAAAAATGGGAAATAATTTATGTTTATAATATGTAATTCATAAAAACAATAATTATGAAATCGACTGCGACCCTTAAATAATTGAAGAAATTCGAACTTAATAAAACATTCAAAAATTAGATTAACTATTATACCGATATAAATAAATAAAAATAGACGAAGAGTAAGATGACGAAATATTCAATAATAGCCGCCAGAGTATGATTTCTTAATAATTATTATATTCTCAAGTAAAAGGATAAAATTAAATTATTAGTTTAGAAAAATCTCAATCATAGAAATTAATAGATAAGTATTTTAAGAAAAATCCTTTAGGAAATTTAATAAAAACTAACAATTAATAATCGTTTAAAATTTTGTTTATTAATCTAATCTACACTCACATTATATAAAATATGAGACTGGCTCTAAATTATAAGAAGTTTCAGCTTTTTAAGCCAATAAAAGTTCGAATTTCTATAATAAAGACTATGACGTATGGATTATATAGAAAAAAGAAGATTTTTTTTAGGAAGACACTAATTTTTTATATAATGATGAATTTAAATCAGTCTAAAGTAGTATTATTAGTAACAATAATAATAGTTAAATTAATACAAAAAAATAAACCGAATTTTTTTTGGGGGGAAATGAAGTTGTATTGACACATTTTTTAACGAAAAAATAACTTAAAATTTGCAGTTAAGTTAAGTAAATATGTTGTTAGTGTATTTAGAATAAATTTTGTGATAAATTATCATTTTTTTGGAATGTTAATATATTAAATGATGATTAAGTTTTGAGGACAAATTCAATTATTTAATTAGAACATGTTTAAACTGGGAAATTAGTTGCAATTACTAATAGAAAAGGTATATAGAAATAAACTTAAAAAATTATTGGAGTTGATAAGGGTAAAATTAATATAAATACTTTTTGGATTATAAAACAAATTATTTGAAAAAATATTAAATATATTTGTATAAAATAAAATAATGATTTTTTTTTAAAGAAATATTAATTTTAAAATAACTTATTAATATATAAATATATTTTTTAAAATAAAAAAGGAATTATATAAAAAAATAATTATAAAATAAATAATTTAAAAATAAAAATAAAAAAAATATTAAAATAAAAGAAAAAATATCCTTAATTAAATAAATATAAAATTATAAAAATATTAAAAATAAAAACGAGTTTTTAAAATTTAAAATAAAATATTTTATAAGAATAAAGTGTATTTTTATTTTAATAATAAATAGAAAAAAGACGATAATATTATGTTTATAAGTAAATAAATATAAGTATTTACATTTTATAAATAAATATAAATATTTAAATTTTTATATAATAATATATCAAACATATACTCATAATTAAATTTTCTATTTTAAATGATCTAATTCTTCGTTTCTTTCAATAATTTCTTTATTTTTTTTACTAATTTCAACCAAGTATTTTTTCTATAAATGCATTAAATTTTAATATTCTTCATTTAATTTTTAATATTATAATTAAATTTATTAATATTTTTCTTAGTATTCAGTATTAATATATTCCTATTCAATTTATTTGAATTCTTTTAGTTCTTAAAGTTCGTTTTTCCTTTTTTCTAAATCGTTTTTAAGAATTTCATTTTTTTTGCATTTTTATTAAAATTCTTCGTTTAAAATATTATATTAATTAACTTTTAAAGTAATATTTTTTTATAGTTCTTTTATTTATTCTTATAATAATTTACATTATGAACATTCAATTAAAATATCGGATTTTTCCTTTATTTATGAATTTAAACTTTATATTATTTATAAAAGCTATTCTTTTTCTTTATTTATTTATTCGTTTTCATTTTAATATTCATTTATTATAATATCTAATTATATATATTTTTCAAGGTTTTTTTATAAACTATAAGTTTCATTTTTTTAATTCTAATAATCTTATTCTATTTAAATATATTTTTAATAAAATTCTTATTAGACTTTTTCATTTTCTTAATTTTTTAATAATATTTCTTAGTATTTTTTTTATATTTCTTAATTGTTTTTTTCAAGAATTATAATTTATTCTTAAATTAATTTATTTTTATATTAAATTTCTTAATAATTTTATTCAAGATCCGAATTTTTTTATTAGTTTATTAAATATTTTTCTTAAATTTCTTAATATTTTTATTCTAGTTATTAATATTTATCTTAAAATAAATAACTTTCATCTTAAATATAAATTAACTCATTATTTTTTTAATTTTATTGTTTAAATGAGAATTTTTAATTTTCTTATTAAATCTAACCATTATATTATTACTTTAAATCTTATTATATCTATTACATTTATTAAATTAAAATTTATTATGTTTAAGTCTTTTACTATATTATTAATTATAAAGATTAATTTTCATGAATTAATTATCTTATTTCTAATTCTTATTACTTATTTATACTTGACTTTTCATAAATCTTTTATAATTATTAATAATAATTTTATATTTAATTATATTTTTCTTCAAAATTTTTCCTTTCTTATTTATATACATTAAATTCTTCTTTTAGATTAACAAATTATATATTTTTATCATTTAATCTTATTTTTAATATTTTTTAAATATATAATATATATATTATATATTTATATATAAATATTTATATTAATACATTAATTTTTTTTTTATTACTTTGTTTCATTTTATTATAATATATTTATTAAATTTTATACTTAATTATTTTCTTTTTATAAATATTAAATTTGAATTTCGTTTTTGTATATTTTTTGTTGATATTATTATTCATTGCTTTTTAATATTTCTATTTATTATCTATATTTGTAAATTATTTATTCTTACTCTCTCGTTAAATTATTTAATTTATCGTTTTCACCTAATAGCAGTAATATTTTTTATTATAGATTTGAATTAATACTATTATTGTTATTTTCTTTAAAGGGACTCATATTTTAATCCAATTATTTTGGTAATTATAGGTTTTAGCCATATGATGATATTATTATTCATTGCTTTAATATTTCTATTTATTATCTATATTTGTACATTATTTATGTTATCTGATATAAATTATACGTTTTCACCTAAGCAGTAATATTTTTTATTATAGATTTGAATTAATACTATTATTGTTATTTTCTTTAAAGGGACTCATATTTTAATCCAATTATTTTGGTAATTATAGGTTTTAGCCATATGATATATTATTTTTAATAGTTTAATTTTATTTTGAATATACTTTACTTTTTTTATGTTATCTGATGATAAATTTCGGCTTTCATGAGTTTTAGAAATATTTAGATATGAAATTTTATGTATTGGTGATGGTATAAACATTAATTTTTTTATTATATAAAAATTAATTAAATAATAAAATTTATTTTAATGATCAGTTGAATATTTATGTTAAAAAAATATATTATTATATATATATATATATAATTAAATCTAAGTTTTTATATAAACACAATTAATTTTCAAAAAAAAAGTAATATTATTATAAGATTATATTAAAATTATATATATATATTTAGAAATTTAATTCTTAGTTAGTATTATTATAAAAGTGTATTAGATTAAGCTGCATTTTATTTAGGAACTGTTATTGGTTTATTTATTCTTCCTGAAATTTATTAAGAATATAAAGCGTTTTTCGAGTCTTTAATTATAGATATTTATTTTATATATATTAGTTTTTGTGTGCAATTAATATTTATAATGGATAATATTGGAGATAAACAGGAAGCTTAAATTAAAAAGAAAAATTAAGTGGAATCAAATTAAAATATCCCTAATATATGTTTATAAGTTAAATAATAATATAAAATAATCTAATCTATATTTTCATGTTGTAAATATTTATTATAATATAAAGATATTTCTTATACTATTAAATAATAAAAAAATATTATAAAATTTATAATTATAATTTATATCTTTTTTTTTATAATAATATATAACTAATATATATATAATCATTATTAATATAAGTAAAATGGGAAACAATATATTAATATTATAAAATCAATAAATTCCAATTAATATTTCATGTAAAACATAATATATTTATAATTAATTAATAAAAACAGTAAATAAAAATGCAAATACACTATAAAAAGATAAAAACGAAAGTTTGAAAGACTTCAAATAAAGAATGAAAAAAGAATAAATAAAAGACTAATAATAAAACGAATGTGATAAATAATTAATTGAAGAACTCCATATTTAAATTTAATAATAATCTCCTTTATATTAAATAATTTTATTAATAAATAAAATAATTTAAAATAAATAATTAAACTAAATACTTTTTAGAACTGATAATATGAAATAGAATATAATTGATTACATTATTTAATACTAAAGAAATGATATTTTGGAACACATATTAAGTCTAAAAGAATTTGAAAACAAAAGAAGCTCTATATCTTAAATATATTATTACTAAATGTCAATAAAAA